GAAAAGATCTGGGTTCAGGTTACAATGACATACCTTGCACCTTCCTTCCTTCCTTCTTCTTTTTTTTTTTACATTTTCTAAAAGTTTGGTAAACTTCCCACATCTTCATATTGTGTTTCCCACCTGCAATGAACACAATGGGCCCTTGTTAGCACTTGAGATTTGATTCCAGAACCCTCTGTGGATACTAATAATCCATGGATGCTTATCCCATTATAATACTGTCCTTTATATAAAATAGCAAAATTTAGATAGTTGAATTTGTGTATATGGCAGGCCAACTGACAATGTAATGACTCAGATTTTATATGTGCATGGTACACAATTAATTTCTAAGATTCTAAGTACACAGTATGTGCACACCTCGTAGTCTTTGAACTTGTTATACCATGTTTTAATTATGCATACAAATTATACCATGTCCCAACGGAAAGAATGACAGATAACCCATGTAGTCTTTACTTAAAAGAAATAAGTAGCTTTCTGTCAAGGTGACCAATATTTTTATGCATAGCGGTAGGTTCTTACGGAGCTTTAGATGTGATCCAAAGAACTATTTAGGTTAAATGGAATGTTAGGGTGTAACTAGTGGAATAGTCAATCTTTTTCCTTGGAAGAGCAGGCCACCCACGCACTCACAAGTTAAGAAACGTATTACTTTTGAAAATCTTCTCAGCTTTCAGAGATGTTTGCCAACGTAGCACAAAGGTGGAGGAGCCGCCTCATAAATGGAAGTCCAGAACTCACTGTGTGGGAACTATTTGTGTGGTTCTCCTGATTCAGGTCTGTGGATTGAGAGTGACATTCACTGAATGAATATGCATTCAGTGCAAAATTGAGTGGTTTACATGCATCAGTGTGTGATCATTGGCATGCCTCTTTCCAAATGACAAACTAGATGTGATAGGCTAACCACATGTATTTGTTCGTGTGTCTTTCTTGTTCATACATAAAATGAAAATCAGGCTTGAGTATCTACTTTTAAAACTGAAAGAAAGTAATACCCTTCCTTGCCTAGTCTCACTGGGCTCTGGTTTGGCCAAGTTGTAGTATTGAAAAGGAGGCAGTAGAAAAGTGGAGCAGAGTGAAGTATGCTGGGGGGGGGGGGTGCTTTCCTCACCAATGTGTTCCTTTTTGTGTAAGAGTAATCCCATACMTTGCGATACACATAAATTAATAAATAAATACTGAATTACGCTGTTTTATCTAGTTTTGCTCTGCTGTGTGTTTACTAAAAGTAAAAAAAACTTTTAGTGTTCTATTTTACAAAACAAAGCCTCACTTATATTCCTTTCTGTATTATAAACTCATGTTTGGTATAGTATCCCCCTTAACAGCATCCATTAACTGCTGAGAGATTTCAGTACCTTAATTATATAGGGGGTGGCAGTACCTATCTTTCAAATACACATTTAAGCATTGAGATAACTGCCTGAGATGATTCACTAAACCTATGGTTTAATTATGATTTATACCCAATTGTCACAGCTTTCCAGCCCCAAAAAAATGTACTCAGAAGCCCCACCTAGCGTATGTGAAGAAACTCCCCAAGCTTCTTTTCCTGTGAAACAAAAAATCATGCTATTTTAACATAAAACTGTTGTGATCTGCAAAGCAATGTTGCTGTGTGTCCATGTCATCAATCAGGAAGGTTCTGGTTTTTGCCAGCCAGCCATTTGCCTGCCAGCCATGTTCCCTTATTGCAAGGTCGGGGAAAATGTAGCCCACAGGTTGATGAGGTTCACACACTCAATTTCTGCTACTTTAGAGGCTCCTTTGATAACCCCAAAGCTTCTTTACACAAAGTTGATGATTTTTTAAAAGCAAACTACACTGATTTCTGGGATATTTTTCAACCCTACACTGACCAACCATCCAACAGGCAGTAAATATGGTAGCGTAAGTCATTCCTATTATATCTGAATGTGATAGTAGATTAACCCCATACATGCCCATGCAGTTGTTAACCGCTATCTTATAGGAATATGGCTTCAAGCAGGATATCATTTTCACCCTCACCCCAGTTTTTTTTTCAACTGATCCCTAACGTATTATTACAGACCACCAAACCACCAATCGTGCTCTGAATTCTGATATTGGGAGGGAGGCACCCAGAAGAAAATGTGCATTTCCACAATCTTACAGGACATATTGTTGTCTGTCTCTCCCTTGTTCCTTTGTGCCTATTATTCATTATTGATTCTGCGTGTTTTTTCTTTAGAACAGGACTAGAAATTTAGAAATTTAAATTCAGCATCTTATATCCATTACTTTGATGTAAACAAATGTTAATATATACAGTACTTGGGTGGTAAATGTATAGTTACGGAAATATGAAAAGAGACTGCACTCATGCATGTCCTCCTTAACTTAGTTACGGTTAAGTCCTGCTTAAGGCTAAACACCTTCAATTAGAATTTTACAGATATAAAAAACATAATTGCTGTGATTCCTATGAAATTTGCATTAAATATGAAAGTATAAGAAAAAATGAGGAAACAGGATGAACAAAGTGCAGTTATTGTGGGTGTGAGTGAGCTTTATCCCACATATTTAATACCTGTAAGAAAAGTAATGGTATATTTCATGTTAATACTCCCAATTTAAATATAATTTTAATGAAACAAGTCATATTTATTTTTATTGAATTAACTCCAAGATAGTGTTTTTATTTTAATTTTTACTTAATAATCCATCTGTAATTAGTATATGAAAATGCAACTGCTTGACTACATTCCTTCAGGTCACCTCTGTAGTTCAGCAATCAGGGTAAACTGTAAATGGGGCAGGATTAGTTCTAGAGCTATTGGAAAGAGCCTGGCTGTTTGCTGTATGAAAAACCTCTGTGACTAAAGAAAATTATGAAAAAGAAAGCAGGAAAATTATTCCTTAAAATAAACTAAGTTCATTTTGAACTTTCAAAGACAAAATCAGCATTTTGCATTTTACCTGAAAGTTAATTAGTACTGAATATTAACAAGTGCTTAAGGACCCGTATATAGGGCAGTCCTTTTGGATGGTACTAGTTAGCAAATACTGCATTTTCAGTGAGTTGAAGAATTGGCGATTTTGTGGTTTTATACAGTATTGCTACATAAAATCTTTGTGTGCCACCATTTTATTTGTTCCTCTCTGCCATCAATTTGACTTTGACTTATGGCAACCCTATGAATGAGTGACCTCTGTATCACCCTGTCATCAACAGCCCTGCTTAGGTCTTGCAAACAATGGCCTGTGGCTCCCTTTATTGGGTTTGTGAAACAGTAATGTGGTTTTCCTCTTTTCCTTGGGCCTTGTTAGGCATTACTGTCTTTTCTAGTGAGTCACAAGTTCTCGTGATATGTCCAAAGTATGGCAATCTCAGTTTAGTTATTTTGGCTTCTAAGAAGATTTTTTTTCTAGAATCCACTTATTTTTCTTTTTTGTCAGTCCATGACATCTGAAGAATGTTCCTCCAGCACTACATTTCAAATGAGTTGATTTTCTCCCTTTCAGCTTTCTTTACTGTCCAGCTTTCACAACCGTACATAGAAATGGGTAAAACAGTGTCATAGATTATATTGACTTCATTATTCAGTGATATATCTTTACATTGGAGGAGCAAGTGTAGCTTCTTCACAACTGCCTTTTCAAGGCCTTGTCTTCTGATTTCTTGGCTGCAGTTTCCATTTTGATTAATGACTGAGCCAAAGTATAGGAAATCTTGGATTTCCTCAATGTCTTCATTTTATGCTTTGCTGTTATATAAATACTCTGTGGTCACTATTTTTGTTTTCTTAATGGTCATCCATAAACCCGCTTTTGTGTTTTCTTCCTCAATGTTCTTTAATAATCATTTCAAGGCTTTGCTCTTTTCGGCTAGTAGTATGGTATTATCAGCATATCTTAAATGGTTGATGTTACTTCCTCCAATTTTCATGCCTCCTTCCTCTGAGTGTAATTCAGTTTTTCTCATTATACACTCAGCATTCAAGTTAACCAGATTGGGTAATGAAATGCAGCTTGCATAGAGGTCTGTCTTTCATGTACAAAACAGCTTGTCTGAATTATAACAATAGAAAGCACCAACAATGTTCTCAAACTGGGTTCAGATCTTAAAATTAATTCAGATCTCTGTACACATTTTTTGTTGAGAGCCTTTATGGAGTTCTTTTCCTGATTAATTCAACAACTTTGCCTTCTAGTACTTTACCTTCCCAGAATTTTATTTTTAAAGAGGTATCATTTGTCATTTAAGTGAATCAGACATTGACAAATAGATGTTTCAATTACAACTGACTTATACAGGCCTGGAAAAGTTACAAAGACTTGAGTTTGTTAGGGTGATGGATATAACAGATGATTTCAGGAAATATTTAGTTGATGCCACGATGAACTATGAAGTGAGCAGGCAAGTAATAATGAATTAATGTGTGCTGATAACTCTTTAATTTATCAATTAGTATTTTCACTGTCATAAGTGTGAGGATCATGTTTAAATGTCTTGTTAATTCATTTTTAAAAAAATCAGGAATGGCTTGTTCATTTGGAAAGATGTTTAATTAAAATAAGTCAAAGCATGCTGAGATGCCATTTTTGCTAAATATGCGAGGTGCTGCATGTGGTTAAAGTGAAAATCTTTGCTACTCAAGTTACTTCCTTCAGCCCTGTTCTTACATTGTTTAAAATATATATACATTTGCAAAGCACACTCATTAATTTGATTATAGATATTGTCAATGCTGATTGCCTTTCTTGTATCTCTGAGTTAGTATTGCAACTGAGAAAATATTTTTGAAAGGTAAAAATGCACTAGAAGAGACTTGCCAAAGAGGGAACAGGTCCTCAGTCTCTTACAACTACATCGAAGTAAATTGTTGCAACCGCTTTAAAGCTATAATAAAAATTTCAGTCAATTCTTTCCCATTCACCAAGGAAATGGAAGTGCTCGTTCCTTTAGAAGTAATTTGTGATAGCTATTTTCTGTACAGTTATTTATCTGGAAATATTAAACGTTGCAGGTTCAGAGGACTACAGGAGTAAGTTCACTGGGGAATGCTTCATGGACTTGATCTGTCCTGAAAAATGCCGCTGTGAGGGAACAATTGTAGACTGTTCTAACCAAAAGATTACTCGACTTCCCAGCCATCTTCCAGAATATACAACAGACCTGTAAGTGTGGCACATTTTGCAAAAGAGACCATAGAATGTTCAACCATTGAAGTGATTCAGTATGTCTTATCTTGCTGGTATCCAAGGTTTTAAAGGGCACTGTAAAACAACTGCAGTATTGTGGTGTTAAGTGTACTGCCTTGGAGGAAAATAAAAACATGTCTAAGCACATTACTCAGGTTGTGTATTCACACTCAACTTCTGATTTCAATAATGTTTTAAGTAAAAGACTTGTTTTCTTGGGGTGGGCAATGTGTGGTACATTAATTGCATGTACTACATACCTTTTTCCCCCTTGCCTTTTAGTGGCCTCTAAAAACAAGATCCAAAAGGAAGGACAGGGTCAGAAAGGAAGGAGAATTGCAGATCTGGAAGCCTGTAGGAAATATAAGGCTCGTTTAAGAAAGGGTTTAGTCCTGATGCTCTCTTTTTTTGTAAAGATAGAGGCAGCTAAAACCCAAAATGGATTTATAGTCATTCCAGGTTCAATAGGGCTACTAATGTAGCCCTTTGTGGATCCCAGGAACAGGAATTGACATCAAATTTGCATACCTGTTGCCCTGTTTTAAATGAAGTGGATTTTTAATGGTTCTTTCAAAGTGCCCTCCCATTATCTTTGGCACCATTTAACGGCCTCATTTGGCTACTGTTGCTATGTAGGAGTTCTCCAACCAGTGCTAGATCACTGTGAAATACTCAGGATATTATGCCTATATACAAATACAGCTGTTCAGAATGGCAGTTTATATGACAAATATTTATATTGCAATAGTAAAGGAATTCCGTTCAAAAATGAAATTCACCAAATTTATAAATGCAAAACACACATATACATATAAATCTGAGTAGAATCACCACGAATTCTGAAAACAGAACAATATGTATTATAGCTAAAACTGAAATCAGTAATATAAACGGGGCTAAAGCCAACATTAGCCCTACCCATTGGAATTAACAACACTTGGTAGTCTTAACATTTCAGTGAGTTTACTCTAGATAAAAGGACAAGAATTAGATTTAGTCCAAGGATGGCAGGAAAAAAATGCATTTTGTTGCACTTATATCCAGATTTTCTCCAAAGTGTAGAAGATTGGGTGCATGGTTTTATTCCAGTTTTATCATTACAATCAGTTTAGCCAGTTTAATGTTATTATTATTTTATTTCTTGCCTGCATTTCCTCATGGCTCAAGGCGGGTTAGAGCATAATTAAAACATTATTGTAAAAATTCTATAAAGATACATATTTCTATAAAAGATAAGTATTAAAATGCATTTCTGTAAAATAGAAATAAATAAGGTGAAATAACTGACCCAAGATGGTGCAGTCAACTTAATTGTTATCTGTGGATTTGTGTTTTCTTCCAATGCATTTGTCACAATGCTATGTTGTTTGTTTATCTGTTTGATTGCATATATAGCCTTTCTCCAAGCATGTCATTCATGTCTTTGTTGTTATCATTAGTCTAAGAAATGTACAAGCTATATGGGCATTTCTAAGCCAATTATGTCTTACGTGATTTCACTGTTATTTCTCCTAAGGCGTTTACATGACAATGACATTTCTGTTCTGGAAGCAACAGGAATATTCAAGAAGCTCCCCAGTTTAAGAAAAATGTAAGTTTCACAAATTTGTTTATTTTAATTATGAATACATTCACAGAGGTTCACATGTGAATATATGCAGACTCAAATGTTGTGTAATTTTCTCCCGAAAAAGCATACACAGGATCTGCCTGCTAGTATGCTATTAAGTAATTTAAAGTACAAATGCACTTAAGAAAACACATTACTTCAGTATCCAAAGCAGAAGATATTTGTATGTCAATAGGTGTCAAGACACTGCAGCCTGAGCTTAGCAAGGCAGTCCACAGTCGACATAGAGATAGCACTTACAGAGTTTAAATCATAGGAGAATTCCAAAGTCCGGTCCGAAGGTCACATATACACATGACTTTTCACCTAGTCCAAAGGAAGTCCAAGGTCATTCACAAAGGTAGTCCACACAAAGTTAGCAGGCACAAAGAGTACTCTGAGAGTCTGATCTGAAGGTCAAACACCAATATCCACAACACGAAGTACAAGATCCAAGGGTCAAAGTCCCTGGCTGAAACATCAAACACAATTATTGCTTTCAGCAAAGTATTGTTGCTAAAGCTCATATTTTATGCTGCCTCTGCAGAAGTCCTACCATCTGGACCAAACTTTCTTATTTTGGACCAAACTCTTTGATGGGTGCAGCTGAATTACGTCCACTCTGTGTTGTAACCGGGGGAGGGGAAAAATTATGTCAGTCATGTCAAGCTGTTCCTCTCTCATGGGCTCATACTCGGCTCCTGGGAGGAACCCCCCCCCCTTCTCCTCCTCTTGACCCATAGTCTGGACAATAGGAACTAGACAAAAGATGAACTTTTAATAGGGTTGCTAGGTCTGGAATATTCCAAGACTAAGGTTTCCAGGCCAGAACCCCATTAAGTACCAATCACAGTTTCTGACCGCTTGTCATTCAGATACACACTGAACTATTCCAGATCAAGATGAAATAGGGTTATTCCTTTTCACCTAATTAGGAAAATGGAATAAGAAACATTATATAGTACTAGCCTCCTTTCTTCTAGTCAAAAAGGTAGATGTAGATCAGAGAATGAGTCTTAACACTACAGTTTCTGGAAGGCAAAGAGGAAGCTACTAAATAAATACACAAACCTCATGGAAAGTCTTTAGAAGTTACAGCAGCAAATCGGTTAGAAATTTTAGCAAGCAAGTGTTCTGTTTGTGGAGTTAAAGATTTATACACAGTCCTGTTCTCTTCCCTGAGTTGATCTCATCCAAACTGGAGATTTGCTTCTTCTGCCTATAAATAACCCACAAAGATGGGAGACTTGGGATCAGGCCCTGAGATCAGAAGTTAGTAATAAAAAGTGTATTTATTTATTGAAATGTTAAACCCTTTCAGTTTGGCTTCAAACCTAGCTTTGGTAATAACATTTGTACTTCTTCTCCTTATCCTTCCCCTTCTCCTTCTCCTTCTCCTCCTTTATCTTCCACCCTATCTCCCCATGGGGACTGATATAGATAGATAATCTAAATCAGTAAGTGTAGAAGGTGAGGTTGTGCGCAGGTTGCCCTTCAGTCCCCATACTAGTATATAATTTTGCTCATAGTTTATCCCTGCAACAGCAATTTCTTTGCTGAATAGCCATTCTTATCTAGTTGTTGTGCTAGGAAGTGACCTTCACCCACCAGAAGAACTTGTCAGTGTTATACACAATATAATTTACATTGGCACAAGATGACAACAAGGAGACACAAAGAATTTGAGGCATCCCTTACTTTAGCTTGGTGATCCAGGGGAGAAAAAAGTATTCTGAAGAGTAGTAGTAATTCATCACATAGCATAGGTTTGGACTATAAGAAATTATCTGCAATCCTTTTGGTTTAGATTGAAAGCTTCCCACCTCTCTCTTCTATCTCAACAGGCCATGGCCAAAGTCACAAAAATTGATCCTCACCTTAAGAGGTTTATGCTTATTGGCCCTGGTGCATATCTAAGTAGCCTCTTATTTGGTAAACCTAGTCCATGCACTATTATGGTAGTGCATTGTTGACTGCAGGGCAGTGAACCATCTTTATAGGACACACATGTTTCATACATTAATAATCTATAATACCAGGGGGGTTTTTTGGGTTTTTTTTTTTTTTTTTGCATTTATTGTTTATACCCATCTTGATATCATAGAAATCTCCTAAAGAGGATTCCGGTCTGGCTCAGAATAGTTGAACATTTTTACACTGTGAATGAACATATGCTTTTTAAATATATTATTCCTGTACAGGGATATTTAATGTATGGTGGAATCTTTCAGTCATTTTTTTCTCTTGAATTGTGCAAAATATGTCTCCTCTTGAGAAAAAAGAAACATTATTCAATAGAAACTTAGTGGATATAGCAATTGGTTCCTGTCTGGCCTTGTTGAATTTGGTGGACTACATTCACATCTGAAACAAATTCATAATGTGCTAATATTGAATTGCCTATACCTGCTGCCCAAAGTTAAATTGAAAGGAAACCATATAGCTAGTATATTTATATACTGATGTCTCTTTTCCCCCTTTCCCATGTCCACAAATAACTAAACATCTGGTGTGCACTATTTACTTCTGACTATGCAAGTTCTCATTTCCAAGGCTGGTTTGGATCGTTTTTCTAAATTCTAGTCCAGCTAATGTGTCTTATGGTGTCTATTAGAGCTCTTTAAAGAAAAATAACAGAACAATTTATATACATTTTGAAATCTGGAATCCTATGCATGATATCTTTAAAATGCCAAATAACTCTGAACAGGGGTTCACAAACCAAGAAAATGTATGTCAGGCTGCTGATGTCTGATACATCTTTAATGCTGCAGTTATGGAAATATACCTGGTAGACTGCCTATCTCTGTGCATTGCATGAGAAATTTTAATAATCTGGAACAGGTTATATCTCTTCTTGTATGCTGATTTTCAAGGAGTAGAGACTGCTGGACAAAGGAGCATTTTCAGTATGCATGAAATGTTCCCATTTAGCATTTTATATCTTTGTGAGGCAGTAAATTCTCCATGCTCTACTCTTGGAAAATATAAGTACTTAGAAATGCAGGTGCAGTTCAGATGTCTGTACTCTAGCAGCAAGAGCTTACAGTCTTGCAGTCCATTATAAAACTGCTTCACTGATGCCTGCAAACACTGGCAGAAAACTCTCATTGCTGGATTATTTTCCGTTTTTGTTCCATTACAGAAGCCACCAGATGCAGTTTAGGGTTAAAAGCCAGATTTGACTGGGAATAGCTTTTTGTTTACAGTTTTCTTTCTTAAAAACCATGAATCTCTCTCATTTACCACCTCTTGCTTAAAATTACAAATTCGGTTTTGCAGAATGCAGACAATCCCCCAGTTACAGACATGCGACTTACAAATGACTCATAGTTAAGAATGGGAGTGAGACGACAGGAGGAAGTGAGAGAAATCTATCCCTTGGAAGGAAAATTTGCTCCTGAAAGAGTTATCATGGGGAAAATATGTCTCTACTGAAGCTTTCTCTCCAATCCTTGCTTCCACAACAAGCCAAATTTTCAAAATCTGATTATCACAGGGACAGAAAGTGAGGTGAAATCTTCTGAACAGGGGCACAGACAGCAAAACAAACACTACAGGAGTGTTAGCCCTTCCCTATTCTATCCAAAGCTAAAAAGACATGTTTGGCTGGATTTACACTTTAAAATGTACCTGTTCTGACTTACATACAAATTCAACTTAAGAGTAAACTTATAGAACCTATCATGTTCATCACTTGGAGACTGCCTGTACAATCTTAAAACACAAGAAAGATTGGATACAGATTTCCCATAAACTATTTGATAGATTTTGCATAATGCCATTGATGTATTGTACTTTTTCTTCTCCTGTGAGACCTGTTTCCAGTGAACTAATGTATAGGATTTCTAAGTAGTTTGGTGCTGGTAAGCGTTGTCGTTTGTTAGTTTTAATTTATTTTTTGCCTCTCTTGTTCAAATTAGTTTACATAATAAAATGTACAAATGCCATTAAATCCAACCAATGAAGGCATCTAGCAGCAAACGAATAGTTGTTAAAATTTAATACAAAATAAACATAAAGGAATTTGACTAATTAAAGTTACTCATCTGAAATTATAAAGACATAAAAGACAAGCAAGCAAACCTATTATTTAAATCGAGCCGTTAGTCAAAGCCACAGTAGATCCATTTAAATCAATGGAACACACATAAATGGTGACTTACTAGGTTCCCTTGATTCAGTGATTCTACTCAAGTTTGGAGTAACAATTGAATTAAAACTAGTTTCATTTATTACAGATGTTTCAGTTTTGATATACTTTCTAAATTATGACTCTACAGAATGGCTTTTCAGGAGTAGGGAGATCCTTTCTGTGATGATCCACATTCTGACAACATTTGTTTTTTGTTTGTTTGGTTTTTTTTGTGTGTGTGTAAAACATCATATCAGGGGTTGTCCTTGCAAACTTATGTTATCCACCTGGTTCACCATAGTCAGCTCCGTATTTTCTCTATTTAGAGACAAAGAAACTCTTAAGGAGTGCAGAATAGTAGCCCCACTTCCTTCATCATGTATCTACTAAAACTCCAATATGGAATGTCTGGACAGAGCTCTAGCAAAACCAGTATTGCACCAGTTTGAGGGGACATTGCATTGTCTCCCTATTTACTACTAAGTCCTATTTACCTTGAAAGCTCTAAATAAATTGTGGACGAAATAACGGAAGGATTAGGGTTTCCAAAGGAAGCCTTCTCCAAATGTTGCTGGAAGAGATATGATGCGTTTATCTAAGAGAGGTTTTAGTGGTGCTCCAACCTCGAAATATTTTCTGAAGGTGTCAACATTGGGGATATTCTTTCAAGTGCCAAATTTAAATGCTTCTGTTTACCCAGGAATTTTAAATATTAAAGTGTTGAACTTCAAGCTTGATCTATATTTATTTGACATTGCTTTGTTCTTTACTTGTTTCTGATTGAATATTTCACATGTCCCTTATATTCATAATTTCATTGTTCTTGATTTTGTAAATATATCTTTAT